TTTTTTTTAAAAAAAAAGATAATCATGATAATTGAAATGTTGATTTAGGATCCAAGCCAAATACTGGTTATTGCATGAGATCTCACAATCAGGAGCCGGAGGGTAGGGAGGTGCAAGGGGACCGTTTGGGGCTTACTTCCCTGCTGACATGGCAGGATATAATGGTGGAGAATTGTATTGGAACCCAGAAATAACTGGTGACACTTTCATATAGAGTCTCTCAGAAATGATGTCCCTTCCAGACTCTGATGCAAACCCCCCCCCCCTTTTCCTGCTGCATCAATGGGCAAATGATCCCTGAGCTGTTTGGCTGGTTGGTGGCTTGAGCCGTTCCCTGGCTGGCAGGAAGAGGATCAGGTCTGGCCAGCCAATTTAGGGCTCAGAAAGTCCTTGGGACAGCTCTACTGACAATAAGTGTTAAACATACACAGGAGCACCTGCTCAGTTGTTTTAGGTTCGAGAGAGTTTGGTGTAGTGGTTAGGAGCGCGGACTCTAACCTGGGAAGAAGAGGAGGAGGAGGAGGAGGAGGAGATTGGATTTATACCCCACCCTTCACTTGGCGTCTCAGAGCAGTTTACAAACTCCTTTCCCTTCCCCTCCTCACAACAGACACCCTGTGAGGTAGGTGGGGCCAAGAGAGCTCTGACAGAAATTGCTCTTTCAAGGACAGCTCTGACAGAAAATAGGCATGAGTGACTAGGCCTATTTAAGGAACTTTAGAGAAACAAGAACTGTACACCGACTGGAACCATTACACTTATGACACTATACTGAAACCACTGCACTCTTATACTTCTAAATAAATTCTATTTAAGAGAAAACAACTGTTTTATTTTGAGTAAGGATCCCTATTTCTACCTTAGAGCCATTCCCATGTAGAAGACGAAGAAGAGAGAAGAGATTGGATTTATACCCCGCCCTTCGCTCTGAGACTCCAAGTGAAAGGCAGGGTATAAATCCTCCTCCTCCTCCTTCTTCCTCCTCCTGCCATAAAAATCTTTGCCTGCCATTTCCTTCACATAATGGTTGTTCTAGCATCCTGACTAGCACCCTCCAATGTAAATATTTCACCGTATTTGACTCTAGAACCATACCTTGCTGCCACTTGACCCAGTGAAGTTTGCCAACCACAAGCTGGGGCTGGGAGATCTCCTGGAATTACAGCTAGTCTCCACACTTCAGTTCCCCTGGAGAAAATGGCCACTTTCAATGGTGTACAATGCCATAGAGTCTACCCTCCAAAGCAGCCACTTTTTCCTAGGGTTGCCAGCCTCCAGGTGGGACCTCGGGATCTCCCGCTTTTACAACTGATCTCCAGCTGACAGAGATCAGCTCCCCTGGAGCTGGAGAAAAATGGATGCTTTGGAGGATGGAGTCTATGGCATTATATCCCTCTGAGGTCTCTCCCCTCCTCAAACCCAACCCAACCCTCCCTAGAATCTCCCCTCCCATTTCTATGAATTTCCTAACCTCTCTCTCTCCTCTTGGCAATCCCCATATCCTCTCCCTGCCGCATTCTCTCCTTCTCAACCTACTTTTTATCTGCCTCCCATCTTCAGTTATATTTATTCTGTAGTTACTTCAGTTATACCTCACATTTCTCCACAGTGGGGATTAACACAGTTTTCAATATTCTCTTTTCCTCCTTTTTCTCCATAACAATCTCTGAGGTAGGTTAGGCTGAAAGTATGAGACTGGTCCAAAATCACCCAGTCAGCTTCCGCAGCAAAATGGGGATCTAAACCTGCGTTTCACAGACCCTAATCTGAAGCTCTAACTGCTACACCACACTGGATTTCATAGGGCGGCTGCTGTTGAACAGTGGCAAGCAGTCAGGCCTACTTGAGTCATGCAAGTCAAGCAGCATCAAGTCACCCAGAGGTTGCTGCCAGGCCTAATGTTGCCAACCTCCAGGGAAGACCTGGAGATCCCTGCAGAGTTACAACTGAACTCCGGATATCTGTCCCCCGGGAGAAAATGGCTGCTTTGGAGGATGGGCTCTGTGGCATTATACCATGCTGAGGCGTCTCCCTTCCCCTCCACAAACCCTGCCCTCCTCTGACTTCATCACAAAATCTCCAGGAATTTCCCAGCCTGCAGCTGGCAACTCTAGCCAGGCCTGGCCCCAATGAATTCTCCCTCAAAGGCCAAAATAGGGCTGGAAAGGTTTGCTCGTAGAGCTTTGTACCTCTATGTGTTTTAGATAAGCCTTTGGCCTTTTATTTTGAGTGATTTGTTACAGAGCTTCTTAAATGTATTCTTGTTTGAGGTGAACTCTCCGACAGCCTTATTTTAAAAAATATATCATATGGGAGGATGTTTTGGTTTTGAAGCCTTGAGAATTGAGCAGATAATTAGCTGAAGCTGGATAATTATCTTGGTCTTTGAGGGAGAATTCATTGGGGCCAGGCCTGGCTAGAGTTGCCAACGCTGGGTGTTGGCGCGCAGATCTCCTACTTTCAGTCTTGCGGTGGCCTTGAAGTGGTGAGCTGAAGAAAGAAAGTATTTGCTTAGAAATATTTTTAAAAATGAAAGAAAGATATAAGTTCCTACAATTAATTAGTAGATCCCTGGGAAGAGGAGTTGGAGAAGGAGTAGTGGAGATAAGAGTTGGAGGAGGAGTAGATAAGAAACCAAGTGAAGTGAAGTGAACATTGCTTGTTGCTGTTTTTCCCCTCCCTAACTGTGTCCTAAGGCTTGGAACTGAAGAATAACTTATTTGTATTGTGGGTCAAATTACTATTTGTATTGTGGGTCAAAAGTTGCCTTTCCCGCAGTATGTTCAGGAATATGGATTATCGGGAAGCATCAAGGAAGATTAGGACGAGGGTGATTGACCTTGATCCTGCCAGTACACTAGCCCAGGCAAGGCCTCTTTGCTTCATCTCCGGCTCCGCACTAGGGATTCCTCCCTCTCTGACCCATCCCTCATATTTTAAGCTTCTTGCAGTCCCTAGTAGCCCCAAGTGTGCTTTTATGCTTGCCAGGCTGAATGTCCTGCCCACTGCAGAACCGGGAGGACACTATGCTAAAATTCCATTTTCAGAGCGTTTTTGTGGTTGTGTATAGAGATGGTAGCTTTAGAGATGGTAGACCATCTTTTGCTATTTTGTGATAAATGGACTGTTCTCTCTCTCTTTTTAAAGTAAAGGTTTCCCTTGCTGGAAAGCCAGTTGAATCTGACTCTAGGGGGCGGTGCTCTTCTCCATTTCCAAGACGAAGCCTTTTCCATGGTCTTGTGGCCAGCATGACTAAACACCAAGGTGCACAGGACACTGTTACCTTCTCACTGAAGCAGTATCCAGGGGTCGTTTAGTAGAAAAAGAGCTAGGGGAACTCATTAGCATAACTCATTAGCATATGCCACACCCCCTGACATCACCGGAAGTGTGTCATAAGGCCACACACCCCGCCCCCAACGGTCCCGGCCGCCGGCCTTGCAACTCCACTGCCGAGCCCCATGAAGGGCCCGGCGGTGGACCTGCAAGGCCGGCGGGAGTGCAAGGAAGCCCCGCGAAGGCCCTCCCTGGCCCCAGGCAGGCAGGGGTGGGGAGAGGCAGGGAGGAAGCAACTTACCCTCCCTCTTCTCCTGCCTCCTCCTGGCTGAATGAAGGCCGGAAGCGGGGCGGCCGGAAGCAGGGGGCGGGGCTTCGTCATGTGCCCCCCCGTACCCCACCCGGGGGAACTGCGATCCCCCGCGATCCCCCCCGAAATGACCTCTGGCAGTACCTATTTATCTACTTGCAGTTTCTTGCTTTCAGACTGCGAGGTTGGCAGGAATTGGGGCCATAGACGGGAGCTCACTCCATCACGCGGCACTAGGGACTCGAACTGCCGAACTACTGACCTTCTGGTCTGAAGCTCAGCATCTTAATTTCTGAGCCACCGTGGCCTGTTCTCTTTGGATTACCCCTATTTTGTCTAGATATCAGCTTCCACATGAGTTCTGGGTGGTATCTCTATTGCTAAGCAGATCATGATCCAGAAATAAATCTATCTGTTGCAAAATATTTGACAATAGTGATTTCCTTAAACTGCTAAAATGAGTATTATCTTGGGAACCTTATGAGTGATTGTATGGGTCTACTGTTGTATCATCATCGTCGTCATCATCATCTTATTTTCATTTGTCTTTTATACATTTTAAAATTAATAATTTTTAAAATAAATTGTAGTCTTCTCATGCGATATATGTATTTTATTGCTCTTGATTGTTCTGTTATATTCTGTTATGTTATGCTGGCTTTGTCTGTTTTGTTTGTTTTGCTCTGCTGTGATGTATTAGTTTTATGCTTAAGACCTTTGGTTGCCTAATAATAAAGGAAAGGTCTGGAAAGGTTGCCTAATAATAAAGGAAAGGGCCCTTACCTTTTACAGACAGCACCAAACTTGAAATGCTGTGGTTGCCTAGCAACAGCCACTGAGGGAATCCATTGCTTAAAGTTACAGGCACTCCTTATATCATTTCCAGATTTTTTAAGCTGTATTTTTTTTCAGATTTCACATTTTTCTGCAAAACTAGGATCCTTTTCAGGTTTGTAGAAAGATCTGTCTTAATCTGTTCACAGCTCCAATCACTGGGTTTAAGTATCCAAAGATATTCTGACTTCGGTATTAGAATATACAAGTGGGGGGCATGATCCCATCTCCCTCACACACACTTTCTCTCCAGGCCCAGTGTCACCCCCGGGCTCTCCTGCAGCAGCCAGGCCCACTGCCTTTCCCCCATCCCTGCCCTCGGCAGCTGTCCTAGAGCTGCTCAAAGCGGGCTTACTGAGGCTTCCTTTCCCCCCTCCCTGCTCTTGGCGGCTCAGCCAGAACAGTTCCCGGTGGGCTTGCTGAGGCTTCTTTTCCCCTCTCCCCACACTTGGCAGCTTGGTCAGAGCTGCTCCAGGTGGGCTCGCGGAGGCTTCCGTTCCCCACTCTTGGTAGCTGTCCTGGAGCTGCTTGAGGCGAGCTCATCAAGGCTTCCCCCCTGCTCGCAGGCCCAGTGCGACTCATGGTTTGCATTGCTGGTGGTGGCATGCTCCTGGGCTCCACCGCTGCCAGGCCCAGTGAGGCTCCCGGCTTCGCTACCATTGCTAAACCCAGCATGGCTCCCTTGTACTGTCAATGAATGCTGGAGGTAAATGCATTCTCTGCACTTCCGCAGAGAATGCTACCTTACTTGGGGGGGAATTACTCCCCCTCGGATAGTTTTTTTTAAGATTTAAGATTTTTCTGCACACCTAGGGGTGCCCCAAGTGTGCAGAAAAATCTCTTTCCCCTCCATGTGCCTCCTATCTGCGGGAATAAGTATCTGCACATAGGGGGCACAGTTGGGAATTAGATATATAGATGTATGTATGTATGTATGTATGTATGTATGTATGTATGTATGTATGTATGCAGGGCTATTTTTGGGCAGGAACGCACAGGAACGGAGTTCCGGCTGGCTTCCAAGTTGGCCACGCCCAGCAGGAACTCATTAGCATAATAGGCCACACCCAACAGCAGAAACTCATTAGGATGGGCTACATTAGGGGTGTGTGGCCTAACATGCAAAGGAGTTCCTGCTACAAAAAAAGGCCCTGGGTTTTGACAACAAACAACGTAAACAGAATAACAAGCAAAAGGTGGGTGTGGCTGGATAACCACACTTCTGGTAACATGTGGGTGCGTTCTAATGTGCTAATGGGCTGTGCTGTCAGGGGTGTGGCCCAATATGCTAATTGGTTCCTGGTGTTGGGTGTGGCCTATTACGCTAATGAGTTCCTGCTGGGCTTTTTCTACAAAAAGAGCCCTGCGAGGCCCCTCCCCAAACCCTGCCTTCTCCTGGATCCACCCCCAAAGTCTCCAGGTATTTTCTAACCCAGACCTGGCAACCCTAGGTTAGTTACAAAGACTCTAATCTGGGAGAACCAGGTTTGATTCAGCAGTCCTCTACATGCAGCTGCTGGAACTCTGGACCCAGACAGAAAAGCCCTGATCACCTTCCTCAACCCCACTGTAACAGTGCACAGAGGCTGACCTTCTGCATAGGACTAGTGGGAAGGCAGCTTCCTATTTTGTTTATTTATTTAGCAAATTTATATGTAGCTTTTATTTTGTCTTGGAACGGAGGATGCAAAATGGGTTAGAAACTTTAAAATAGACCATCTTAAGTCACTCAAAATACTGCATCAACACATCCATTGCTCACACTGCCCTATTATTCCAAAACTCAAAATTAGGGCAGGGGCAGGAGTTATGTATATGAAAAGGGCACATGCAGACCACAAAATACATCACGTCTGAAGTACAGATTAATGTACACTGCAGATGAAATTGGGCTTGTGATGGAATGATGGTATTGATGGCTGGATAATAAGCAGAATGCAGGAATCTGGTGATGGGAAAGCTAACCACATTTGATGCTTGTGTTCTCCTACACTGTAATTACCTTGTGGTTTCCTTAATCATCCTGAATTACAGTGTAGCAATATTCTGCTTTTTACATTTGAATGTGTTCACAGAGGTCATTAGAATAGCCCTTAGCTCGTCACCTTTCCTGGTCTTCTCATAAACACACTATTAGAAAATATGTTGCATTTTCCTAACATCTTTGAAGTCAAGTTTTATTTACTTTTATTTCATTTCAGTTAGAAAATATCTGTGTCGCCTCTCCAGAGCACCTGAATGAGTATCAGTTTGAATACTTCGTATTCACTACTTTGCTCTGCAATATACATGCAAAGTGATTGTCTTCTCTGTATATTTTTGGATTCTTTTGTGGATACATTCATTTTCTGTTCCAGATATTATGTATCTAAATCTTTTAATTTGCTGAATAGTAAAGTAATTCTCATACTGAACAACAGGAAAAATGTATCATTATTAATTATCATTGTTGTAGTTGTTACACGCTCCCCGCTTCCCCATGCAGTGAGAAGTTACAGAGGGAGAACACATCTGGGTGGTTCCTTTTGGACAGGCCCGTAGCTAACATGGGGCCCACGGGGCCCGGCCCCCTTGTGTTTCTTCTGGGCCCCCTCCCTCCAGGGCTGCCCCCAAAGTGCTCCAACTTACCACCTGCACTGTACTTCCATTTAATTAGCTGGCGGGCCCCCCCAAGGCCCCCTCCCAAAGAATTCCCTAGCTACGGGGCTGCTTTTGGAGAAGATAGCATGGCAATTTTCATGGCATTCTCTGTATTTATGGATGAAGGGCTGGATCCAACCAGTTTTTCTGCTGTTTGAAAGGGGAGGAAGGGTCCCCTTTGACCACTCAAAAATTCTCTGCTGTGCTTGGGAATTCTTGGGGGTGGGGTAATGATGTGCAACAGTGTGCAGCATTGCAATGTCATTTCCAGTCACATAACTGGAAGTGATGTCACA